TTTTTGGTTATGTTTATGTTTTAAGTGTGCTGATTCCAAATATGTAATTATGAAGATGGGATGTGTAGTTTTAAAGTTACAGTGTATGGCTAAAAACTGTATTTTTACTGCTTGTGTTTAATTATGTTAATCTCTTCCCAAATGTCATTTCGTTCAAAGTGGAGAGAATGTTAAAAAAATATATTTTTGTTCAGAGTGTGAGAAATGCTTTTCAGCCGCTTCTAATCTTAAGCATCATTTGAAGAGCCATACAGGAGAGAAACCTTATTTGTGGTGTGTTTAGTATTGTTCTGATCAGTTTAATACCTTCCGCGTCTCCTATCAGTGGACGTGTATATGGCAGCCATTTTAGGAACCGTACACCTGGGACCGAGCAAGGTCACCTCGTTCAACAGGCTTGCAGCGTATCCTCCAGGAAGAAGAGCCTGAACCCTTACCGGCTGCACGTGTCTTACCTGTACATGGAAAGCTGCTCTGGTTCCTTGATGAGCCAGCTGCCCGTGAGTTAACATGTCCCGTGGAGAAGCACTCTGTCCTGTAAAGCCTCACCAAAAAAAAGGAGTGGTGTGTTTAGTATTATTTTTATCAGTTTAATACCTTCTGTGTCTCCTATCAGTGGATGTGTACACAGCAGTGATTTTTGTAACAGGCAGATGGAAGAAGATGCTTGGTCGGTCCTCCTAACTGGAGACTGTGTTGCTGTACGGGTGGCAGGTGGAGCCATTTATAAAGTACCCACTGCTTTGCAGACCAGGTATCAGTGGTCAGATGGACCCTTGCCCCAACACTGTGTGCCAGACATGCCATTACTTCCTTTTGCACAGTCGAGTACAGGTTGGGGATTGCCTTTTGCGCAAAGAAATTTTGGCCGGGTACCTTCCACTGCGGTGTCCCAATAGCTACAAATTTTTTGAACGCCTCAGACTCCACCAGATTGTATGGTAAAAGCTGGCGGGCTAATAGTTCAGACAAGCCAGGTGTCAGATGCCGGGCAAGGGGGTGACTTTCTGACGCTTGCAGACAACTAATTGCTATTCAATCTATAACAGTGAAAAAAGTTTTGAAGCCACAGTGCAACACCAGAGGGCCTAAAAATTAGGCATGTACACATGCCTGAAAAATTCGGTATTGTTGCAGCCGCTGCTGTAGCAGCGGCCAGAAAAAATGATGTTTGTTTCACAGTCAGAAAGTGCCCTAAAACATGGCGGCTTGAACTGTAGTTGGTGGCGGATAAGTCACGCAAGTCAACCGGCATTCAGAGCTAAAATACAGCAGCGTGTGGACCATTTTTAGCCCAAGGCAGCTCATCTCATCAGGCCTTTTTTACATAGGGTCACTTGGCAGATATGGATTGACACCTGTCCTCAGAGACCATGATACACACTGACACAGAGCAGAATAGAGACTGTTCCCCCTACATAGGGCCACTTGGCAGATATGGATTGACACCTGTCCTAAGGATCCCTGATACACACTGATGCACACCTACTTGGATGGTATAGACATTTTTAGTTGCTCCTGGCCCGAACACCTGACCCACATAGGAGCCGTAATAGACCGGATTAGGGAGTCCGGACTGACCCTAAAGCCCAGTAAGTGCCATATAGGAACGTGTAAAAACCTCCCCAAGATAGTAGTATGGGCCCCAGAATGTGAACAGGCCTTCCAACAGCTCAAGACAGCGCTCATTAAATCACCTTTACTTTCTTCTCCTGATCCAACTAAACACTTTCTCGTCCATACAGACGCTTCTATGCTTGGATTGGGAGCAGTACTGAGCCAAGTCGGAGCAGATGGTGGCGAGCAACCAGGGGCTTATCTAAGCCATAAACTTTTGCACAGTGAAGTATATTCACTGCCATTGAAAAGGAGTGCATAGCGGTGGTGTGGGCCCTCAAAAAGCTGCAACCTACTTGTATGACAACCGTTTACCTTACTCACAGATCACAACAAATTTGGGGCACTGCACGTGCAATCTAATGTGCCACCAGATAGGAGTGGTGTGTTTAGTACTATTGTTATCGGTTTAATCACTGTTACGTCCCCTATCCGTTGATGTGGAGTTAGACGCAGCAGCAGAAGAGGACTCAGCCGAGGAGGTTATGGAAGAGGATGGAGTAGGAGGAGTAGAGGAGGTGGCAGCGTACTGGCAGAGTACACGCTGTAGGGCTGACACACCTGCTTGAAGATAGCTAACTGCTATTCAATCTATAACAGTGAAAAAAGTGTTTTGTTTTTTTAAATCCAAGCTTTGTGACACCAGATCTAATTGGTGGCACTGGTCACCGTATCCACTGTTAGCGTAACACACCCGCTTTAAGGACACTGACTGCTATTCAATCTATAACAGTAAAAAAAGTTTTTTGTTTTTAAATCCAAGCTATTGTGACACCAGATGTAATTGGTGGCACTGACTGGGGAAATAGGCACAGTATGCACTGTGAGCCTGACACAGAAGCTGGCAGCAGTGGCAGACAACTGACTGCTATTCAATCTATAACAGTGAAAAAAGTTTTTTGTTTTTAAATCCAAGCTATTGTGACACCAGATGTAAGTGGTGGCATTGACTGGGGAAATGGGCACAGTATGCACTGTGAGCAGGCCCGGACTGGCCATCGGGCATACCGGGCAAATGCCCGGTGGGCCGCGATGGCCGTGGGGCTCCCCGGCCGGCTCCTGCAGGGCCAGCGCTACCCGAGCGCCGGCCCTGCTGTGTGCCTCCATGGGCCGGTGGGGAGATCAAAGATCTCCCTTTACCGGCCCAGAGACACTTCCAGGCGGCCGCTTGCTGGGGTGTGAGGGAGGGAGGGAGAGGACCGGCGGAGCTCTATCCAGCAGCTCCGCCGGGTCCTCTCGCGAGATTCTGAGCGTTGCCGCGGTTACCGCGGCAACGCTCAGATCTCGCGAGAGTGAACTCTAGCCTACAGGCTAGAGTTCACGCTCACCACTAGGACCACCAGGGATCAGGCAGCATGGCTCTCCTCCCACGGCAGAACGGCTCCCCCCCTTCCCAGGCTAAAGGTAAGAAGGGAGGGGGGGGGGGAATTTAACTTTTTTAAAAATTATTATTATTATTAATAAATAAAAAATTAATTTAAATTAAAAAATCACACTCACACACACACAGCACTCCCAGACACACACAGCACCCCCAGACACACACAGCACCCAAAGACACACACAGCACCCAAAGACACACACAGCACCCAAAGACACACAGAGCACCCCCAGACACACAGAGCACCCCCAGACACACACAGCACCCCCAGACACACACAGCACCCAAAGACACACACAGCACCCCCAGACACACACAGCACCCCCAGACACACACAACACCCCCAGACACACACAACACCCCCAGACACACACAGCACCCCCAGACACACACAGCACCCACAGACACACACAGCACCCCCAGAAACACACACAGCACCCCCAGAAACACACACAGCGCACCCAGACACACACAGCGCACTCAGGCACACAGCACCCTCACTCACACACAGCACCCTCAGACAGACAGCACCCTCGCTCACACACACACATATATATATGTGTGTATGTATGTGTGTGTATATATATATATATATATATATATATATATTTACAGATATATATATATATATAATATATAAAATAACCTCAGTGAGTTAACAGACAAAGAAAATTAGAATGTGACGGCAGATAAAAACACCCTCACACACAGCACCCCTCTTACATACACACACACTGCGCCCCTCACACATACAATACGTCCAAATATATATATGTATGTATATACACACACACACACACTACAGCACTACATACATTACGCTCCAGATACACGCTAGATCCCTTACCTTATATGCACTCTTAATCCTCTATACACACACACACACACACAATCTCCTATACACACTCTGGGTCCTTTACACACTAGATCTCCTACACACACACTGCACCACCTACACACACACTACATTCCTTGTCAGCAAACACATACAACATTCTCTAAACACACCCTCTCTACAACCCCTACACACACTACGTCACCTATACACACACACACTACAGCCCATATGCACACACTCGCTACATCCCCTATAACACTATGCCCCCTATACACAAACTCTCTACAGCCCCTAGCCACACATATTACACCACAAACACAAATGAAATTGACCTATTTACACAATACCACAACAGACTCTACACACACGCAATCCCACAAGCAGGCTCCAAACACATGCACCATACACTTTCCTGGCCCTTTTGTCCTCTGGTATCCCACTTGTTGAGACACCAGAGACAATTTAAAAGCAAACACAGCGCAAGCATGTTATTAAATTTGCTTGCGCTGCGCAGAACAAATACAGGGCCTTTTTCTAATGCCAGAGCTCTTCAGCGCAGCTCTGCGCATTGAACCAACATGCTCACTTTGCGAGGAGGCGTGCTTGTCATTAGTGATGACAAAACACACCCTCTCTGGCCCCGCCCCCTTCTTAGGGGGCCGCTCTGATTGAAAAATGCCCGGGCCTAATTTTTTTCCCAGTCTGGCCCTGACTGTGAGCCTGACACAGAAGCTGGCAGCAGTGGCAGACAACTAAGTGCAATTACATTACATAGAAAAAAAAATAAAAAAAAGCATACCCTAACCCTAACCTAGCTATGCTTTTCCCTATCTAATGAACAGCAGCTACGCTTTCCCTCCTCTTACTAAGCATGCAGCTTGAGAATGAATCTAAAATGGATGCCTTCCAGGAGGTGGGAGGGTCTGCTAGGGAGGGTGTGCTGCTAATTGGCTGGAATGTGTCTGCTGGCTGTGAGGTACAGGGTCAAAGTTTACTCAATGATGACGAATAGGGGGCGGGTCGAACCGCGCATATGTTCGCCCGCCGTGGCGAACGCGAACATGCTATGTTCGCCGGGAACCGTTCGCCAGCGAACCGTTCGGTACATCACTATATATATATATATATATATATACTGTTGATTTTCCTGTATTTGATGCAACACGAGAATTAGAGGGTTTCTGCAGTGAGGTTTAGTAAGATTAGTAAGTGGCTGCAACATTTTAATAGGTGTGTTAGATGGAACTTGTATGGATGTCCACTAGAACTGAGCATTCAATTCCAGGTGAACTACTATTTGTCCGATTTTAGGTGATGGGCTCTTCCAGACAAATTCTGTATCTCTGAAGCGCAGCATACCTGAGCAACCATCTAGCTCAATGGCCGAACATGTTCACTTGATTCAGTATTTAGAGTTCTCCTGGGGCTCCAAACAAAGATGATTCATGGAATAAATATGATTAATAGCTAGGGGAGAGTCGCTAAATGTTAGTTTAGGGAAAAAAGGAAGACCAGTAAAAAATCTTATATTATATAATATAAAAATATTTTATAAATTCTACTTTTTA